GGGTAAAAATGGGAGTTCATAACCCACTTGAATCTAATGTATGAAATATGATATGTCAAGAGCTTTGTAATGTTTTGAACAACCAATAAAAAAATAAGAGAGAAAAAAAACAAACAACATAGGGAAATAATAAATATAAGATGTGATTAAATGTTGTTTAAAGGAAGAAAGTTTTGAATTTAAGGTGTGTAACTTGCAGTTTCCAGTCTTGAACCTTTTCTAGAGATAAATAAATTTCATTTAGTATTTGTGTATATATGTATGTATGTATATATTTATATTTCCCTCAGTTCCGGGAATTGAACCCAGTGCTCTACCAGCTCTTTTTATTTTTCATTTTGATGCAGGGTCTTGCTAAGTTGCTGAGGCTGGCCTTGAACTTGGTGATCCTCCAGCCTTAGCCTCCTGAGTCACTGGGATTACAGGTGTGCACCACCACAGTGGGCTTCACTTAATATTTATAAAGAACTATTACCAAGGCTACTTGGCTCCCTGGGCAGATGCTTAAGGAAAACAGGAAGCCAGAACTGATCCTTGTTAGCAAAACTGTCTTAATAACTCCTGTGACTATTGAGAAAGATAAAGCTCAACTGCCAGTCAGAGGTACTACCTGTCTGACCCAAGCCATGACTGGGACTAAAAGGGTGGGCAGAAAGGGTAGGTGGAGGTTGGGGGTAAGGGCCATGCAGGGAGCAGTGCCAGCCTCTGCTGAAAGTCAAGGCTTCAACTGAAATGGTTCCTCTGATTGCTTCAAATTTCCTCTCTAGAGTTAGGATCATTCTTCTGAGTAGGAACACTCATTCTAGGTGAATGCATTCTAAAGAGCAAATACTACAACTGAAGCAGGTCCTGACAGCCTAATAGCATGCATTGGTCACAGAACCGGAAAGAAACAGAAATCCGTAAGGAACTGAGTGCTTTTAAAGCAAAGTAGAGAACACTGGAGCTTCCTTTATATGCTATGATAAAAAGAGCAGGCAGGGTAACCAAAGGCAAAGTCTTGGCATAGAATGAACTTCAGTTTGAACATTAGCTCAGTCCCCTCCTAGCTAGTTATTTAATCTCCCTTAAGACTGTTTTCTATAGGAAACATGGGGGCACTCTTGCCTTTCTCTGAAACCTTCCTATAGGTACAATCATTTAACCTACTCACTTTACCAATGAGGAAACTGCAGTACCAAGACCACACACATGATTCAAATCTTTGAGCAATTACATTGTGAATCTGCACAAAGGAGAGTTCAATGGAGTAATGAATGTAAAGATGGACAAATCCCTTCCATAGACACACACATAGCCCAGGTCAGGTCCCTCTTATGTTCATACATTCCAATTCCACTCAGTTATAAACACTAAACCTACCCAAGAGAGATGAAGATTTCTATTTTTTATAGATATCTGACAAGATTGAGGCTAGATGATATTTTAATACCATTTTGGTTTGGCTAATGACTATGTCAACTGCAGGGAGAGAAAAATCACACCTTAAGCCTATACCTAAATTTTCTGCAAAACTTTCAAAACACCACACTTGAAGAAGGACTAATATGGCTTAAAAGTTCACTTTTGTTAGAGTACAAAGAAGCTGCAGAGTTTTTAGCAATAATTTCCCCACTACTCTCCATGTGGGATCCTGAAAAATAGTGTTATGCATTCAAAGCAAAAACTGAAGGAAAGTGCATCAGTGTTTTCTCCTGTGGGAAACAGCAGAGAAAATGAAATCATTCTGGCAAAGGTGAAGATGCTAGACAAAACAAAACAAAGCCAGACACCAGAAAATCCTCAGAAAACTCAGAAGGAATGAGCCCAGGCCCACAAAGGACCACAAGAGATAGGGTCTTGGATCCCACAGCTCTCTATCCCCAACATTTCTTCACCTAGCTTCTCACCCCCACCTAATATTTACAGTTTGCCTAATGCAGTTGTTGCCTCTGAAGCCAGGGGTTTAGAGCCTGGAGAGAGACCTCATTTCTTAGGCTACTGTAAAGAAGTGGATGGAGATGTCTTTTCAGAGGATGATGTGTTGCAGCCATACAAGGTTAGAATCCTAAATTCACTCCTCCATAGAAACACTAGTTCAGATGCTAATTAGTAATTTTAGCACAATATAGTACTTCAGGTACAGATGCTCCTCAGCTTACAATGGGGTTACATCCAGATAAGCCACAGTAAGCTAAAAATATTTTAAGTCAAAAATTGCAAGACCTGGCATGGTGGCACTCACCTGTAATACCAGCAGGTAGGGAGGTTGAGGAAGAAGGATTGTGAGTTCAAAGCCAGCCTCAGCAAAAGTGAGGCACTAAGCAACTCAGTGAGATCCTGTCTTTAAATAAAATACAAAATAAGAGGCTGGGACTGTGGCTCAGTGGTAGAGCGCCCACCTAGCATGTGTGAGGCACTGGTTCGATCCTCAGCACCACATAAAAATAAATAAGTAAAATAAATGTATTGTGCCCATCTACAACTAAAAAATATATTTAAAACAATACAAAATAGGGCTGGGGATGTGGTTCAATGGTTGAGTGCCCCTGGGTTCAATCCCCAGTACCCCTTCCCTCAAAAAAAAAAAAAGAAGAGAAATGCATGTAGAGCCAGGTACTACGGTGCACATTTGTAGTGTCAGCTACTAGAGAGACTAAGGCAGGAGTGTCACTTGAGGCTATCCTGGGCAAGAGCAAGACCCTATCTTAAAAAAAAAAAAGCACATATTAAATTCAACTTACCAAACATCATAACTCAGTCTAGCCTACTCAAACATGCTCAGAACACTTACATTAGCCTACAGTTGGATACAAATCATCTGACTCAAATCCCATTTTATAATAAAATGCTGAATAGCTCATGATTGAATTTTGAACCACAGGAGAAAACCAGAATGGTTGTATGGGTACACTTTCACACCATCATAAAGTTAAAAAATTATAAGTCCCATCTTAAATCACGGACTGTCTATATATACTATAAATAGGTCTGGTTTACTTTATAAGATGGAAAGTTTACTTTATAGGATGGAAAAATGTAGGTTCTAAATGACAACTCAAAAACAGTTAAGCTAGCTTTTGACTTGACAGCATGCCAGGTTTATTGGTCTTTTGATTCATGTTACCTCAACTGCTGATTTACTCTATTAATCTTTGTATATTAACTTATGTACATAACTGATACTTCCTTGATTGGAAAAAATATTTTAAAACTTCCTATTTAGGATCTGACAAACTTTTCATTTTCAGGCTGGTCATACTGTACCCTACTCCACCCCAACCTGCTCAAGGTGAGAAGTTCACAGCCAACAGACCCAGTCAATGTGGAGGTCTTATACCTACCTTTTAACTATGTTCCAGGTTCCAAATCCTGGACTTTCTTGCCCAAATGGTCCCAAGTTCAATTTCAGAACCCAGGTGTGTCTCTTTCTGAGACTGTTCTCCCTGACCACATGTAGGAATGAGAGGCAGTCAACAGGCAGTGTCTTTTGGAGATGTGTACAGAGAGGATGGGGTGCGTGCAAGAAGGACCCAGGGAGTAGGGAAAAGAAGGGAGTCAGGAACAGAAACAGGCCAGGCACGACTCCTTCTGTACCAACATGTCAGGTAGAGAGGAACTGAGAAGTCCAAGACTTCTAAACCACACTGCCTTCCAGGAAATGTGGAAGCTATGTTTTCAACATAGGAGAAAAGAACACATTTGAAGTTATAAATTAAGATGTCAAATTGTTAAATATCTAGACAAAGTCCTGGACATCCACTCTGTACTCTGAACCCCAAAAATATTGGGAGCAGTCCTTTCTAGAAATAAATGAAATGCTAAAACTCAGAGAGCCCTACCAGGAATCTTCTTGGCCCAGCCAATCATGTGCACCAGTTCCTTGTCGGCCAGCTTGGTGAGGGACATCATCATGGAGACCTCTGTGAAGGGTGTGCTGGGGCGGCTCACCAGCACGTTGGGTGGCTCCGCCTCGAGGAGGGTGAGCACCAGCTGCTCGGGGCTCAGGGCACTCAGCAGCAGCTCCTTGGCTCTTGGCAGGTGCCCACTGGTTTTCTTGGCTTTACTCAGGCAGTGCAGCTGCTCGCTGGAACTCCTCTGTCGTTTCACCACGTGATACCCGCACCTTTCTCTCCTGGAGCCTGAAGGGGAGATCAGATGGCCATACAGTGTTTGCTCTGATCCAGAGGCTAGATCCTGATGGCCAGGGAAAAAACATAGCCATGATATCCCTGAAGGACCAGAGTCTATTCTCAGAAAGCGTCTGAGAACAGAAGGTCAACTTCTTTTCTGGAGCCTTGGGACCTGGACTGAAGAATACTATAGTTGTGACTGTATTAACAAAATCAAAAACTTGACATTTTAGGCGTATTAAAATCTCCATTTGAAAGTCATCTGTGGATACTAAATCCATTTCTCTTTTAAAGCATGAGGACATATCTCAGTTTCCAAATTACAAAATGAAGAATTTTCCTCAGGTAGAAAATAGGGAAAAGTTAGGACTTCAACATTGATAATACACCTTATGATATATTTTAAATATATGGATATATACATACACATGTATGTATGCATGTCTGTATGCACATATACACATATGTGTAACACGTGTTCTTGTCACAAACTTACACAAGCAAGTATACTTCAAATAAATTAATTGAAAAGAATCTGGAAAATAGAGAAGAGAATGACTTTGGACATAAATACTTTCAGCTTTTTATGCTTTTATACATTTTCATATTTTATAAACCAAATTAGAATCATGGCATAGATACTATTTCATAACCTTCTTTTTCTCTTTTCATTAAAAATGTCATATGAAGGGCTGTGGATATAGCTCAGTTGGTAGAATGCTTTCCTTGCATGCACAAGGCTCTGGGTTCCATTCCCAGCACCATAAAAAATAAATGAATAAATAAATAAAAATGTCATATGACAATTAAAAATGCACATAGCATTCTGTTCTATTAGTATAGCATCATTTATTTAGAGTCCCATGCTAAAGTAAATCTAATTTGCTACAATTTTTCTATTAGTTTAAATATTATAATAAACATACATTTTTGTATATGTATCAAATTACTTCCTTATAATAAATTCAAAGAAATCAAATTGTTGAACCAAGGCATACATATATTTAAAATTTTGATACACATTCACAGATTACTCCCCAAAAGGGTTTCAAAAATTATAATCTAGTAGTTTAAGGACCACCTATTCTCACATAATACCATTGAGCATTAAAAACCATTTTTTAATAAATATTTTTAGTTGTAGTTGAAACAATACCTTTATTTTATTTATTTATTTATATGTGGTGCTAAGGATCAAACCCAGGGCCTTGCATATGCAAGGAGAGTGCTCTACCACTGAACCACAAACCCAGCCCCTAAAAACCATTTTTAATATTTGCTTTTATAAGGACTAACATTTTTAATATTTGCTATTATAAGGCTGGGCTAAACAGTCTTGCCTTACTTTTTATCTTTAAAATTACTAGTTAGGTTAACTAATATGTTTGTCCTTTGTATTTCTTTACTTATTAATTGCCTATTTGTGTATTTTGCCCCTTTCTTCCCTAAAACCTACAAAGGCTCTGTGTATAGTATTGATAGATAACTTTGTTAGATGCAACATTCATCTTATTTGCTTTTTTAAAAAATATTTATTTATTTATATATCTTTAGTTTAGTTTTGTTTTGTTTTGTTTTTAGGTGGATACATTAGTTTGCTTTTATGTGGTGCCAAGGATCGAACCCAGTGCCTCATGCATGCTAGGCGAGCACTCTACCACTGAGCCACCACCCCAGCCCTTATTCGCTTTTTTTTAATTGTTGTTTTTCTTTGTGGTACTGGGAATTGAACCCAGGAGTGCTCTACCACTGAGCTACACCTCTACCCCTTTTTAATTTTTATTTTAATATTTATTTTTTAGTTGTAGTTTGACACAACATCTTTATTTTGTTTATTTATTTTTATGTGGTGCTGAGGCTCGAATCCAGGGCCTTGCACATGCTAGGCAAATGCTCTACCGCTGAGCCACAATCCCAGCCCCTCCTTTTTAATTTTTATTTTGAGGCAGGGTGTTGCTAAGTTGCCAAAGCTGGCCTCAAACTTGCAATCCTCCTGCCTCAGCTTCCACAGTTGCTAGAATTACAGGCATGCATCACCATACCTGGCTATCTTACTTGATATATGGCTTTTAATTTTGCTCATGGTGTCATTTGTCATAAGAAGCTTTAATGCAGAATCAAATATTTTTACTTTATATCAATATTTTATATATTTTCCTTTGTCTTCTTGAACAATGTGTGATTCAAATTTATTTGGAATTTTATGCATACCTATATTATATGCATTATATTATATCATGATATTATATATTTATTTTCATGTTATATTTTTCAAATGGATGTACAATTTTCCCAATAGTAATTATTGAATAAGACTTCACCACTGATGTGAAACGTCTTTTCATTAATAAATAATTACATATAAAATTATCTTTTCTCTATTCAGTTTTAGAGATCTACTTTTCTATTCCTGTGTTAGTACCAAAATGTTTTATTAATGTGGGTTTTTAAATCAGAATACAATGGAAGAGGGACCAGGGTTGTGGCTCAGTGGTAGAGC